CGCGGCTGCTCTCGGGGTGCGCTGTCACCCAGCCCTGCATTTGTGTGTGTTTTCCGTTTACATCAACGCTTTGTTAGGAACTTGGGATCATTGCCCATCTAAACTTTTCTGACTGGAGGGCCTCTCAAACAGCTTTTAAAACCACGGTGCAGCGTTCCACGTATGCTTCTGGATCTGCTCTTCTCCTGCCTTTTACCGCAGAAGAGCTCCGGCCAACTTCCCTCCGCTGTACTGGTGTGCTCTGGCAGCTCTGAGGAGCTGGGTGTTCACATCATCACTCATAGCTGAAACACCCAAGATCAGCAGAAGGCAGTGCCGCTCCGCAAGTCCTACCAATACTGTTCCCGAAACCCTCACTTACCAAAAGGGAACTGCACTTCAGGCTGGCATTGCACAGGCATCGCTGATGTCCTGCAGCCGACATGAGAACAGCAACAGCCCTGACAGGATTCTTTGGAGTCGTATTTCTTCTGCATTGTAAAACACTAGATGTCACCAGGAGTTCCTTATCTGCTCTCTTGGGTGGTTAAGCGCAACGCGAGCCCCTCTAAAATTAAACGGCGTACTTCCCCAGTATTGGGCCTGGGAAACAAAATCCACTAAGAAGTTTTCTGGTTTGTTGCTAGTTGCTGGTGAGAAAGGGCAGATGATTTTTCAACAGATGCTAAATATTCTAGATTCCCACAGCATTCCTAATTCAGATTGGCTTCTTCCTCGTTCGGTGCAGAAGATGTTTGTGCAGTATGCCTCATACAGAAATTAAGATAAAGGCGGCGAACGGTGTTCTTCACGAAGGTGCTGGACTTTCGAAGGAGGCACTGCAAGAGCCTGTTTTATTGACAGCAAATATGAAACTGCATTCAGACGTTGTATTGAAAACACCTGCTTGTAGCTATAGTTAATAATTAACATGCATGTGCATACAGTAGTCTTCAAGTGACCGTTGCAGTCTAAAAGCCCCAAACAGCAAAACCGAGGAAAAAAAAAGAAGGACCAATTCAGTAACGATGTTTTCTGACTGCTATAGACAGCAATCAGTACGCAATACAATATTGCGTTCAAGCAGAATCAAGCCATGAGGAGTGGAAATTTAGTCTTACTTCCAGGTATGTGTCAGATTATTTGGTTTACACTGGTGCTGGGTGTCAGTTTCCTTAATGAATGTTTAAAACCTTCATCTGTTAGTTCTCTAAATGTTTTCCTTTTTCTGAAGCTACTTTTGTAATAGTGGCCTTACGATGCTTGGTTAATGCTTCTAAAATGCTGTGGAGTAATACTATTAACATATTTAACATATTCCCGATTTTTTTTAGTAGAACGGTAGAGGACATTGATGACTAGCAGGAGAACCTGCATCTGGAAACTAACAATGCTTACAAAATTACTCATTGTAATACTGATCACTTAGCATAATTACCATGACACAATTTTTAAAACAATTCAGCAAATTGGGGAAGGCAGCAACAACATTATTTGGCTTGTTTTAAACATCTACTGTTTCCGTACCTAAACTTGTCTGTCTTTCCTTAACCTGGACTCAAAAAAAAGTTTGTAATTAATAACTGTTTAAAAAACTTCAGTTGTTCATAGCTCTGTTTATTCTACCCCCAGTGAAACAGCCTCCACTGGCTATCTCCTTTGGTAGAGGTCATGGATCTTGTCTTTGTTCTACAACTGCCAACAGTACAATTTACATAAAAGACAATTCGGGACAGAGGGGGACGTAACTCCGAACAACTTTTTGTTATCTTTAAACAGGAATTAAAAAAAAAACCAAACCCTCGATAGCAAAATGGACTGGAACATGTTTGATTGGTTACAATTATAAACAGTGGTGTGCAGTAAGTTTAAAATACCATCCCCTAAAGGGCCACAACATGATGCAGCTTGCCCCATGTCTTTCCTTGCCCTGCCAACGACATCAGCCGTTGGGCAAAGTTAATCTCTTCCTGATAGCCTTTGCTTCTGCCCCTCCCATGCTTCCTTTTCTATTCTGAATGCTCTTCCAGGTGTTTTGGCAAGCCTCTGCCTTCCTTCCCAGGACTCCCACACATTCCAGAGCTGGTTAGCACAATCACAAAGTTCAACCATTAACCAGAAGCTGAAAGTAATCAAACACAAACCTCCCTGCGAATCCCCCTTCCCTTACTCGGCTACCACCTCTTCAGGACGGGTCTTTATCCCATTTATTGAAGCTGCTAAAAGACTTCGGGAATTTTAAGGAAACAAGATGGGATGCTTTTATCACATTGAACAGTCTTGCAGGGAAGAGGCAACGTGTCTTAAGAATTGTAGCAAGTGGAAAGGAAAATGAACCAACAAACACCAGACAAGCATTTAGGCACCTAACTCCTTCAAACAAATGTAGTATTTTGTGACCAATACAGACTGCGAGCAGTTGCTGTAAACTTAACTCGACTTCATCAATCAATCCAGACTTCCAAAGAACTTACTGGCACACAGGAAACAATGAACTTTAGCAAGGTTAGACATGCTAGGACTTTCAGACTGTAGGCCAGAAGCAGAAAAATACAATCATCAGAAAAAGTGATTAGCTATTGGTAAAAATTCTGATATACCTTAAAAAACCCAGCACACCCCACTTTCTCTGCCGAGTTTGAGCATCCAGTACAGCTACAAATGCCAATATTCACCTTTCAAAGTACTCTGTATGTTTTCCTTTACTGAAGGTGGAGCAACTGTCTTACAGGAAAAATGCTGCCAGTAACGTGGTAGTTCTTACCGATACTGTCCGTAGTCTGTATCAAAGGATTTTCCTTCAGCTCCTTCTTTTGGGAGAGGTGAAGCAAGAAACTATTGATGTAATGTCAGCTGTGTAACCGTAGAACAATCTGCTTATTCAAGTAAGTTACAGAAGTAAAAAACAGGACGCGAGAGTTTTTTGTCTTGGGGCAATATGCAAAGTCTGACATCAGGATCAGAGCTTCTCCTGTGCCTCCACTGTACGAGCGTGATGGCTGACAGTCCTTGCCCTTACTTACAATTTGATGCAACTATCAGAGCAAAAAATGAGTCACATCCTATGATTCATTTTATATACTGAGATAAAACTCATTCTAACTTGCTGACACTATTTATCTTCACCAGTTAAATTAAATCCATTTGTTACTCAGCTACCTAAAACCAGAAATTGTTTGCATAAATAGCAGTAGCATTATGGATGAAGGGCAAGGCATGTCAAATGTGAAAGTTGAAGTGCTCTTATCAAATCCACCCCAACTGGCCAAATTTTGAACAGGATCTTTCCAGTAAGTGTTTTAAGAAACACAAAGAATTCAAAACAACACGCACGTTTGCGGTCTTTAGCTTTATCATCATAGCCTGAAATCACACCTTTACATAATGAATTAAAAATTCTACATGCAACTTTATTTTAGTATAAACATTTGGATGAGACTTAAGGGAATGCAGAATGAACCTCCAAATACAAATCAGATGCATGTTAGTGAATATGTTGCATGCAAATTACTTAAGAAAATGACTTCTGGAAAAGTCAGTCAGAAAAATAATTACACAAGCTGTACATGATCAGGCAAAGGAAGAACCAGGAGGACGTATTCTTGATTCAAATATCAAGTCATTAACTTCTATACAAATGTGTTTAAATAGCTATTTGAACTACTAGGAGATTGAGCTAAATACTATCATTTTCCATATGCTGTAAATTATTTTCAGTGTTCTAAATTCAAAATGGTAAAAAGATATTCTATTTTCAGCTTTCCTTTGCTAAAAAAAAAAAGTATCTTTTATTCTTGTACTCATATGAGTTGGTAGTCATTGTATTTACCTCATCCAGCAGAGCTGAAATTTCAGGTAATTGTCATATTTTTATTTTGATTAAAAAACATTCAAACAGTGTGCACAATTAACCAAGAGCTGCTTCCAGTGAAATGTTGCTCTCTATTTAACGGTGGGAAATAGCAAGTAATAACGCTTATACTTTAAATGCAAATACTGGGCAACAATACTATATAGCTATTGTTTTTCAATGACAGAGTTAATCTCATCTGCAATAATTCTAGCTAGCCAGAGAATCATGCCAAACTAACCACAAGCATCAGAGGAACCAAGAAGAAAAATAGTTTGCACTGAACATCTTTTCATACATTGATAAACAATTTGTAAGACTATGGTATAACCATTTCCTCAAGAATTAGTCAACAGTTTTGTGCTTCCATTTTATAGGCAATTAAAAACCACCAGTGGTAATAATATAACAGTGCAAGTGTTGAAATGTTCTTCTTGCAGTTCACAATTTCTTTTAAAGCTTTTTGGTTTAAGATCCGGAGTATATAATTTATTTCATTCTTATTTTTTAACAGCCTGAAAAAGACAGCTTCATCAGCCTAAGTACCATACTCAGTTCTAAGAAGTGAAAAGGCAAAAGTTTCTGCATCAGCACGGTACCAAGGGGAGCCTTGTTGCATCATGCTGAAAAAAGACGATCTAGGCCCACTTAAGAAATGCAGCAGAACAATATTAGTGCAAATTTTTGCTACCGTAAGAGGATCTTAATTTTGCTCAACTAAAAAAAAACCGGTCAATAAATTATGTACTTTTTACTCTTTGAAGAACAAAAGGAAACAGAAAAAGAAATCCACAGTAACAGAATGAAGTGTTTGCAGAGATATTGCTGCACAGCTTAAACATCACATACGAGCCTTTCCAGTTCTGTATGATGCTTACAGCCGCACAGACCTCTAAGTAATTTAAAGTTTAGCTCAAAAAAAAAAAAAAAAATCCGAATGTGAAAGACACTAGAATTTAGAATTGGGAGAAAAGAGCCAGTTCTGCAATGCTGAGAGAAAAACTCTTATTACATGCATTACACAAAATGAAAAGTTTCTACCTGCCACAGTCATTTCATTTATGACATGTTCAATTTGCCTGTGATGCGTTATTCACTTGCAATAGCCACAAATTTTAATGCAATGCATTCACAGTACCACAACTTATGTCAATGCGATTCGCAGGCATTTCTTGTTTTGGGTGAATATCTCACCAAAAGTTGTTTAGCATTCATGCACTGGTCAGAAGTCACCAGGTGCGTCAGTCCTTTCATCCAAACAAGACTACAGACAGTAAGAATTTATGACTTACTTCTGCAGTAACAAAGTAAGAAATGCAGTGACAGGAAGGGCGACCTCCAACCACCTGTGCCACATGGACACAGATTCAAGCAGCGTCACAGAAACCCAAAGACTGAGCACTAGAGAAAAATATATTATTTTCATTTTTGTTGCACAGCCTAGTGATGTCAAGAAAAACAACAACAGAATTAAGCTCAGGTACTTCAGAAACCAAGGAAGGGCTTGGCTTGTGGTGAAAGTCTTTAAAATTCCCTGAGGTAGAATATCAAGTATCTTCTTTCCCAGAATATATTAAGCAGGACAAATCCAATTTAGTTTTTAACGCTGTTGAAAATTCTTTTGATAGTAGTTCATGAAGGGATACTCTGTCATGAGAATACACCCAATTCCGTCCAGTCCAGTCATAGCGCTTGGGCCCACTAGAAAACAAAATACACACTGTGTAAGTACAGATTACTCATGGGGAGCCGCTGGAAGCCTGTATTTATAATGTACCCCAGAGAGTGCCCAGGTAAAGGAAACGGACAGCGTGGAGAAGGACTGGTGGGCAGTCTGGGGAAGTGGAGCAGAAAAGGCCAGATCTGCCAGGAACTGCTGAGCCATCCAAGAAATATATGTGAAAGGTGACGAAATAGATCGGTCACTCCCAGCGGACACAAGCTCCCTCCTTCCCTTCTTGCTTTTCACAGTCTTGCTTTTAACACTCATTTCCCCAATTTCTTTCCCTTCCCGCTTCTTCCCTCACCCATATAATTTTCTTGCACACAAATATTACCAGGGATATTTGTATAATGCTGAATTAATGCTACTGATTAGTTCTTGGAGCAGTCACATGCAGATACTATAAGCACTGCAGAATACAGATCACCATTCTCACTTTCTTTTCAGATGCAACAAAAGAATTTACCAGCTGAAAGCAAATATTGGCATGTGGGAGATTTATATTTAAAATGCTAAATATAGTTGCTATCCTATATAGGATATATCATATCCTCTGTGCTATCATATAGTTGTTTGCTTGATTTTTCAGGCCTACAGTAAGTATCAAGAAAGAAACTTGAACACCCAGGTTCCATTCCAGACCTTTCTGTCCACCCAATTCTCCACATCTGAAACAGGAGAATGATTGAAAGGCTCTCACTACTGTTAACATCAGCTAGAGAAACTAAGAGAAAGGAATGAAATGGTCATCTGGGATAAACACAAAAACCATCAGTCTTATCCTTGAACTCGTAGGACAAAATGCCTTGGAACTCAGACAATCCACGCACAAGGTCTGCTAGAAAACAGACTATCTTATATATACACACGAACAATCTGCAGGTTTTCTACAAATGTAAACACTAATCTGCACCATGAATATCCTGAATTATTCGCAATATTCAAATGAAGAACTTTCTAACCACTAACCAAACTATGAGAAGTCACAAATGCAAACACAAATCAAAGCCACTTCCACCGAAATCTCACTTGCTGTATGTGAACTTGTAGCTATTTGGAATCGAGATTATGTGCTCCAGTTACTTTACTACGCGTTTCTCACTTCTTTGTCTTTGCAGCACAAGCACATGTTTATACTGTCCTGTACCTAGAGAATGACAGAATGGGATGCAGCCATTCATGAAAATCAGGCTAAGGCAGGCCATTTAGAATCATAGAATCATTAAGGTTGGAAGAGACCTCCAAGATCATCGAGTCCAACCATCAACCCAACAACACCATGCCCACTAAACCATGTCCCTAAGCGCCTCATCTACCCGTCTTTTAAATACTTCCAGGGATGGTGACTCAATCACTTCCCTGGGCAGCCTCTTCCAATGTTTAACCACTCTTTCAGCAAAGAAATTTTTCCTCACATCCAATCTAAACCTCCCCTGGCGCAACTTGAGGCCATTTCCTCTCGTCCTTTCGCCAGTTACTTGGGAGAAGTAATCAACGATGACAAAGAAAAGAAATGTGTAAGTTATTTGAACTGTTTTTAAATGTTACCTAGTAAATATCAGTGATACAGTTAGTGTACAGAACACCTCCATAGTTCTCTGAATCTCCAAAATGCTGTACAAATGTGATTTTTTTCATTTATATTAATAATTTTAGCAAGTGATCTTGTGAATTCTATTAAATGCCTACAAAGTTAAATATAGACTAAATATATTTCTCATGGAAAGTCTGCATACATTTTTAAACAGTAAGAGAGAAGACTTGAAATCACATTAAGGCGTTATTAAGAGATGCTGTGTAAGGTTGAAAAGTCTTTTCAGTGAAAGGAGTTACATGAAATTACTGCAATCACACTGCTGGCAGGTTGCACCCACCCCCTCACCCCCTTTTTAAAAAAAGTCAACTAAGTTGACTAAGCTTTACAAACACAAGCTTAAGTTCACTTCAGTGTATAGATGCATGATAGCAAACAGAAGGTCAAAAAAATTCAAGAAAATGTCTCTCTCTCACATCTTAAGAATTTGTCTCCCTCGGGATATGTTCCTAAAGAGTCAAGATTCTACGTGTACTGTAGAAATTTCTCAAATATAACGTTCAATGCAAATGATCACTGGCAGTAACATTTGCTTCTTTCACTTCCTAGTATATTGCACTTAAGAAGTATGTCACTCCAAATCATATAGTATTTGCTGGAGTTGCTTTTCAGAAGTTAGGAAGTAAGTGAACATGTAGCATCATATTTCAGGAAATACCACTGTTTACCATAATACCAGTTAAGGAAGCACAAAACTTAATGTCTGTGGGTGAATCATTTTTCATCACAGATGATGAAAAATACCCTTGGAGAATTTTCACGTTTATCTCTTTCCTTGTGTATTTTTATTCACCACTGGAGCAATAAAAAAAGTTTAACATTTTTTTCACAAATTCCATGTTCTGGAGCATGTATGTCTTAGCTCAACTAGAGTTGGCTTCAAACAGATAGGAATTCTCTGAATTTTGGTTTTCATAAATAGATGAAACCTTTGTGTCAGTAACACAAAGATCTTACAGTCATCTTCAGCAGAATCAAGGTTTGGAAATTATGCTTGTTGCAGAATATATGGAATGAATAAATTCTGACACACAGCCTGCACCTACCTGTCTAAACAAAATGGTTTGTTAGCTTGCTAGGCCTGTGCCTTAGCAAGTCATGTACCTGTTAAGTAAATTATTTAATTAATAATAGGATCCTGGGATAGGGGAGGAGTTAGTAGAAAAAAATCACTAACCTAGTATGCTGTGCACCAGCCAGTACATAAGTACACTAAAGCAAAACTAGAATTTTCTTTAGGTAAGTTTTATGTCTATTAAATTTGTTTCTCTTAAAATCTTAAATTCCATTGTGCTTTTTTTTTTCCCCTGACACAAACCCTACTACAGAATTCCACTGCTGCAAAACCATTGCCGGTTTTGCAATCAATACATTCTTTCTGAACAACATTCAAGAGGTACGCCTGCATAGTTACTGGGAGTGTTCATACTTTCCAGCTAGCTGGTTCCTTCACCAGCAACACTGACCAACTCCCTCAGTTCTTTCCCCAGGATAGTGGCAGAGAATACAGATTTTTTGGGGAGACAGCTACAACATTTTCCCACATATCTGGCTGCCCTCCCTGAGATCAAAACACAGCATTCGAGAAGGCAGAGGGAACAGCTAGCCAATGGTCCTGTAAAGTGCAGATGCTTGACAAAAACAACCAGTGGGAGAGCACATAAACATATAAAGCAGGAAATCCCACGAGCTTAAAGGGGAAGGAGCCACCCTGTTTAAATACAAAGAGAGGTTTAGATCATAACATCATCATCACTCTTTTTCCAGCAAAAGCTTTGTGGTTTTTTTTTAATCACGGCTGTTTGTTTTTTCTGTGAGTAAGCTATATTCCTGTAGACAGTGGTTTTGGACTAGAACAGGGTATGAAAATTCTGTATTACACATTTGCTGGATTAATTTAGGTATGTCAGTATACTGCACTGTGCCTCAAACCTCTGTAACAAATTATTATCAAACATTTAGATTATGTCATGTTTTGAGATTATACTGAGTAAAAGGGTTACTTGTGAAAAGGATATTACATAGCCCATGCCGTGCTATTAAAAAAGGGGAAGTACATTTCCACCCAGTCTGCAGATATTACATAACTAACTTACACATAACTTACCTAGTGGGTGAGGACAGCCAAATCTGCCGGTTTGGTGTTTGCTTATTGATTACGTATGTTCCCATGTCTCCGCCTAATTTAACTGTTAGAACTCCACTCTTAAAACACAAAGAAAATAAGTGAGAAATTAAAAATTTGCATCCTGTTACTTGACAAGAATTACATTATCTGCAGTAGATAAACAGAAACTTACATATCTGTATCACATTCCCAACTACTTCCCAAATAATCATAGCTTGGAAGAATGATAGGTATCAAAAACTTGTGTTAATACCTAGGACAAGCTGCATATCTTTGAGTCTGATCTAGACTTTAAACCTTCTGGTCAGAGTTTGATTTAGTGTGTTTGCACCATTCACAGTGGCACTACTTAAATAATACTCTTGAGCTTTGACCTGTCACTTTGAAAGAACTGCTAGTTCATTTTGCAACGATTAAAACATCATCCAATAACAACTTTTTCTATTCATGAACAATGCAGAACTGGTGTGGTTCAAAGTCAAGAAGCTTTATGTGTCATTGCTAGATTCCTGAGCCATGCAATTTTACCTAACTTTTCTTAAATAACTGTAACAGTTTCCCAGTGAATAAAGACAATTCTTTCTCCAATAATTCTGATGAAGTGCCTAGATCCTGAATCATACCTCAAAAATGTTCCACTCCAAAACTCCATGAGGTCTGGTTTGTTTTAGTTATGCCAGCTTTAGACCATAATCCTAGTGAGTGTTTATTTTCTCTTTCTTACTCACATTTCTTACTGACAACATGATTCACATTTCTCCGACATTTTCACAAGTGCATTTGAAAAGCATACGTAACTCTGACAAAAATATTTCTGTCCTAACTTTAGGAGTAAAAGAACAACACTACTTGGACTAGAGTTAACCTACACATGATCAGAATTATGCTAATTAAAAAGGGTATCTCTACAGAATACAGTCTGATGATTCAGATATTAGGTTAGTCATATTTAATCTACAGTTTCTCAAATACTTCATGCCCTATAGCATGATACAGCTTCTTTAAGGGAATCATACCTTTCATGCTTTGGTCAAAAGATACTACGAGAGCTATCATCATTGCTAGGGCTATTTGCTATGTATAAACACCTACTGTGGGGAAAAATGTACTTTCATTTATGAGTACCTACTGCCTGCAAACTTACTCTGCAGCACAGGCTGCAGCTTAGAGCCTCCTTCCCCTACAAAGTAACTCAGTGTTACTGGTTTCTGACATATCTGAAGGATCATCAGCCATGAAATAATACTCTCAAGGTCTGATTTTTTTACTTTAGTTTCCATGCTGTTTCTGTGCTTGGTAAGGGATTTATATCTGTAATCAATAAAATAAAAATAAAAGGCTCCCCTGGTTAATATTGCCATCAGGTTGTCCTGCCAGTTACATTAATTGGATATTAGTTTAGTGCAAAGAAGGACAAGAACAACCTACTTCTCTGGTTGTCAGAATTCAAACTTTCCTGTATCTCAGCGGTCTTAGATCTGTAGAGATACAACAGAGTAAGAGCAGGTTGGGGGATTAGGCCTGAATAGCAATAGAAAGGTTTCACTATTCTTCTATGTGCTCTTTAGTGCCATATTAAGTATTCAGCATGATGTTATGCTGCATGCTACAGAAACACTGTAAGTAATAGGTTTCCAAAGAGTTAACAAAAAATCTGTACTATTGCTTACATTGTGTGCCGGCTGTTGGAGTGTTGTTGCTCTGTCATTGCAAATTAACTAAAGGTTAACTTCGAATGCTGTGTTTAAAACATTTTGCAATACTTTTGAACACTAGAAAATACAACTTGAGTTGTTAAGCACTTAAATTGCAAGATATTTTTAACATATTTTAAGGAATATTACTGTATGTGTTTTGTATTACTGGATGAATGTTTGTTAGCTCCTGGTAACAAGAATATTCTTTGAAAGAGATTTTCTTCTCTGGACACGAAGGTTGCATGAAGAAATCAAGTTCATAACAATTCACGGGCATAACAGACCTTTATCACGTTCGCCACCTTGTGGTTTGCTATAGCATTAGCTTTGTTTGGAATTAACTTTGGTAAACTTGGGACTATTTAACCTTTTGCTCTTAACAGAAACTACAATGTATTATTACGTCATCATACAGTCTGTGCAACAAAGGAGTACTGGTAAAAATTAAGATGGATGTAAAAATAATTCCTTTTGAGTTTCACAGTGAGTCAATGTCAAACACAATCCACTCTACAGTGGCTGGAGAGAAAATCCTGACATAAGATGACTCATCACCTTCACCTAATGAAGTGCCTAAGAATATTAAAGAGGTAATTACAACCTTTTTGCTGATTTTTGTCCTAAGCTCTTTAAATCAGACTAATAGGCGCTGATATGCTAAAACATACTGAATAGTAATGGTTAAACTATTCTTTGCTTTTCACCAGAAAAGCAATTAGCATAACATTAACTACACACTTAATTAAAGCAACAAAGAGTATTTACTAAGGCAACAACAGAATCCTACTAACAATATGTTATTTTCTATCCGAGCTATAAGAAATAAAGAATGAACATTATGATGACAAAGTTACACAGGAGCAAGTCTGAAAACTACAGCATTGGGGTTTTTGTTTTGTTTTGGGTTTTTTCCCACAGTGCAAGCCAAACCATCTGCTTCAACGTCCCTGAGCATAAAACCTTAACTGACAGGGCTAGTAGAAAGCAACCTCCTTGTGGTAAGACATGAAGAGGGAGCAAGCAGCTATACGACATCAAAAAAATGCAGTAGTGAAAGACCTGTGTTGCAGATGGCAGTATAGGGAGAAACTGCACTCTCCTCCAAGTCATGTAGAGGGCTGTAACATACAAACAACTTTAGGAATTGTGTATGAAGCTAATAAATTCCCTATACAAATTGAACGGATATTTTCAATCTAAGTCTGTCACTCCTGTAAAAGAATTTGAGTGGCTGACCTATTAAAGGCTCCAATTATCAGGCTAGCAGCCACCCAATGTCTCCCGTGACAGCAGCCTTCTCCCCATGTATGCTCTGGTCTCACTTTTGCAACCACCTATCCAAACATTGCATCCTCTTGTTGCTTCTTGCCACCACAGGCTGTCCTCAGTAAAGCCAGGACAAATGTACTCTACCTGGTCAAGACAAATGCTGCTTCTCGGTATTCAGGGCTATCGAAGAAAATGCTCTACCAGTTACATGTGATGTACGTGTACTATGCCACGTAGGCCTGTCCTAGTATTCACCGGGAGAGAAGTGACTGCTGATGTCAGAAGTTGATGCATGTTTAGAAAAATTTATAGACCACTGTGAAATTAGAAACCAGTTTCTGTCTCCTCTTGTGCTCGTATATTATCCTATATTGTATCTTTCTCGACACACTAAACATTTTAAATCCTCAAATCATACAACAGCATGTGTTACTTTTTACCAGAATAGTTGCTCCAGTCAGTATAAACAGGCATATTTTAACAATAAAGCTGTAAAAACTCACTGTATTTTAAGTGTTGGCACTAGGGTGACTAATTTAAAATTCTCCTTCAAAGACCAAAAAAAAATCTACAATAATTACAGTGGTAATAGAATATTTAAAACATACCCCTAAAGAAACATCATAATCTTCTGGGGTAAAAGGCTTATCTGTTAGGTCCTCAAAGAAATCTGCTAAGGAGTCCAGTGTTTCTTCAGCCAGTTTTTCATAAGTGGTCTCATCTAAAGAGCTACAAATGACATACAAGCCCATAATTAGGAGGAAAAACATGAAGACAGTATTTTCCCTATAATAAAAACATACGAAGACCATGACCTTGGAGGAAACAGTAACCATGAAATGATCATATAAAACAAGTAGTCATTTTTCTTAAGGTAATGTAGGTAACAACCTACCTTATAAATGGAAGTGGAATTTTGAAATTTTGGTAGTAGAGAGCTCTTAACTGAGAAATCTGTACTTCTTTCCTTAGATATACTGACCCCTAAGGGTAAGTATATACACTCATATAAGTGTACTAAGAGGACAGAGTTAGATTTCAAAATAAGGGATTTTCATAAAAGGACTTTGTGCAAGAATGAATTAGTTCTGAACTCTACGAACAGAGACAAACGTCTCCTGTTTAGAAGCACGTGTCATTTGACTCTAAGAAACTCGCTGTAGCTATAAGCAGTTTAGAAACATCAATACCACATGACATCTCTAGGCACAGCATTTAACTTCTCAACTGGAATTACCAACGCGGCCCGGTAATTACACATTATTTAAAGTGTGCTTATGAACTAATACATACAATTACTACCTTCTTCAGAGAGTCTCAAAGCACCATTACGTAAGGCTTACAGCACTTGTGAGACTGCTTCTGTTATCCTCTTTAAATAAGTAGAAAAAGTTAGTGGGAAGAAAAGTCTAGATCAGTTTAATTAACCAAATGTAATTAAATTAGGTTAAATTTTTCCATCCGTTATCAGTGTCAACTTTTAGCTGAGTGTGTAGGTGGGTATCTAGCAACAGACAATTCAGCAAAATCATTTCAGTTTTTGCTAATGGGTATGGCAATACAACAGTTACTATGAACTATGGTGACTCAGCATCTTTCAGTTGATGATACAGAACGTAATTTTTTAAAAAAGTTTCTTGCTAGCCAGTTACTGAAATATACTCTATGCCACTCATGTGAGGCACACCACAGAAACACCTAGGGGCGTGGAGAACAGAAAGCCTTAGGATTAGGCAGGATTCATGTACTGGTTCAGGGTGCAGTTCAGGCACTTAATGCTAAGAACCATTTTAGACATCTGCACAACCCTTCACTGGGCCTCCAACTGCTGCACCAGAAGGGGAGAAGTCTCTGACAGGTACTGTGTCACATCCTCTCAGTGCAAGGAGAAATTTCATGTACCCTGACATATGTGAAATGGTGCTAGACACCTATGTTTAGCTACATGAATTATGTACTGACCTCCCAAATCCACTCAAAATGCTTTTTGCTAAAACGGTACTTTTCCTTTACATCATCGTATCAACATTGCATTAGTTTGATAGTCTTACCATGTCTAGAAATTATTTTAAAATGCAGAGACGATATTTTCATATGAATATCTCAAAATAAAATTTACCTTGTGTCATTCAGAGTTCCTGCATTTCTCAAGTTCATTAACCGAACAGTCTTGCTTTTCACTTCTGAAGCATATTGTAATTGCTGTTGAAAGTTAGCCTAAGTAAAATGGAATTAAAAGTTAAAACACAAAGAATTATAAATTACATATTTGTCACATAAATGAAATAGATCCTTGAGGGCCTTTCCATCCTCCCCCAAGTAAAATACTCATATTCTGTATCACAGAGCTAATATAGACAGAATTATGCAGCTTTAGTCCTTGGATGATTGAGGCAATCTAGAATATCCTTGTCTTCTGATACAAACTAATGAAAAAAAAAATTTATTCATAGAATAGTGAAGTAGGAAAGAGAAGAACTGTTTTCTTTTCTATTGCTCTACCACTGAATTACTGAGCAACTTCAGACAACTGGCTTAGGCCAAGGTTTTCACAAGTATCCACAACTCAGACGGTTCATTATCAACAACTTGTGTCCCTCTGTTAGAAGCCATGAATGTACTGAACTGAAATAAACAGAAGCCCTGAATCCTCCTTACTTACAAAAGAACTAACATCACACTTCACATTCCAGATCTCTTCTGTAAAACAAGCTGGTTAATTTCTAATTTCTGTTTAAAAAAAAAAGCTTTAAAAAACAAATCAAAATTACAGAAAAGCTGTATCAACTTACTGACAATGTAAGACAAGGGAGCAAAATGGGCCACCCCTTTGAGGGAAAGCAATGCATCAACATGGATAAAAATAAAGTTGACCCCCTAGTCTAACACGCTAGCAGAAGCACTTATGCTATCCACCAAGAAAGAAAGATAGCATGCTTGCCATTTTCTTCTTAACCTGGGCCATGAAGGTATCTATTTTTGGATGAATGGTAAGATAGCGTTCTTGATTGCTTTTTGTGTACTTACACAAGGTTTTGAAAACTAACAGAGTGAGTTGAAAAGCAAATGACATTTAAAAAGGAACCATGACAGCCCCTCCTCAAGCACACACAAGAGCAAAACACAGAAACACCTCTCTCCATATGGTTTGACATCTATCCTCAGGCACTACAGATGAACTGGTCTGTTAGTCCAAAGCCATGACATGGACATAAAGGACTGAGAACAGCAAACTCCTTGTACCATCACAATGATACAGTTTGACTAAATACACACTGATGCCTACGTGTTTTTGACTGCACCCTTTAGCGTTTCTTTAATGCACGCGTAGGATCAAAAGCTACAAGACCATAAATACGTTCAGGCTCTGGCCAGACTGGGAGGCTGTAACTCCGTTAGCGTGCTCATACTCAACTTACGACTTGAGGCTGCCAACAAGGTGCTAGCATACAGTTGGTATCACCCCTCCACCTACCAAGTGCTAAGGGTGGCCAGCATGCATCTTCTGCAACCGGAAAAGGGTAGCAAACAAGTAAATAGCTCTGCAGTACAGCAAAGGCAGAGTTCCCCGCTGGGCAGCCCTCGCTGCTGCCGTTCCTACAGCGCAGCACGGCCGTATTTGCACGGGCTGGGAACCACCGAGGCCACCGGCCCAACACTTGCTGCGCTCCTGTGTTTCCCCGGGGCGCAAGGCCGAGCCGCGCTCTGGCGAG